CGAAATGACTTTATAAATCTCTCCATAGTGGAAAACTTCTGTCATCTTTCTCTTATACGGAGTTTGAGCTCAGTTGAACACAAACAAACCAACCAAACAGTTGTACCTGTTATTGAATGAGATGATACCTGCTCTTTTTCAAACAAATTCTTCATTAAAATCATTAGTTGGCAACACCGTGGCCCATGTTGTGCATGCATAAGGTCTGGCAACAATAATTCTTCACACCGGTGGAACTAGTTTTAAGATTAAAATGTTTTGATGGAAGTGAAATCCATGCATGCATGATATATTTTTAATGTCGACTGACGTTAAGACAGATTCCATCGTGGAAAGTGGTAATAGCATATGCATACTTGCTATTATAATGTCACTTTACGACAGAAAACTGATTGCGTTGACGAGCCATCAAGCATCGTGGCAGTAAGTGGCAAGTTGAGCATTTTCAATGTGGTGTTTAATGAATTTATGTAATATATTATTGATGTCAAACAAACTGCTAGATTAATTATTGGGCTGTGATGAGGCATATTAAAAATTAAGTTTAACATTAGATGGTGCCCTAACCAGCCATGTACAGCCAAATTGTTTTATATCAAACTGCCAAATTAATAATGTTGCAGCCCAATAAATAATCTGGCAGTTTGTTTGCCATTAGTAATTGAATTGGGTTGATGTAAATGTTATTATTTCTTCTTTCTAGGTATGGAACGAAGCGTACACATTCTATTAGGAGTCACCGGAAGCGTTGCAGCAATTAAAGCCAAACAATTAGTTCAACTATTGCAGGAACCAAAGTCGGAAGATGTCTTCATCGAAGTTAAAGTGGTTGCAACAGAAAATGCTTTACACTTCTTTTCGTTGGAGGAACTGAAAGAGATTGCTCCGGTTTTCAGAGACGAAGACGAATGGAAGACCTGGAAGAAAATTCCGGATCAAGTCCTTCACATCGAACTAAGGAAGTGGGCAGACATCATGGTTGTGGAGCCACTGGATGCGAACTCTTTGGCCAAACTAGCCGGCGGCATCTGCGACAACCTTCTGACCTGCATCGNAATTAGAACTAATAATGACAACTTCCTCAGCACTGAAACACGAATTGCAAGACATCTGCGAAAAGCACACAGAGATTTGGGAGATGTTTGAAATGCTCAACAAGCAATGGGAAGTTCTTTCTGCTTTGATATACGCTCACTTCACATACGAAACGTGTTTTCTGTGCTTCGCTTTGCTGTTTTTCGATGTCAGCTTTTATATTCGAATTTATTTAACCGGACTTTCGATGGTATACTTAACGGGATGTCTTTCGGTTTCTTTTGGACTTTCTTACTTGACATCTCTGGTAAGAACGATTTTTTATTGTATTTCAGTTTTTATTTACAATATAGTAAATAATATGATATGTATTTTATACATTATTTTTTGCTAAACACTTTTTTGTAATAAACAAATTATAGAAAAAGTGAAATTATATTAATCATTAAGTATTTAATTTATGACAGATATATTCATTTTTTAGATTTACGATAATTTCGTTTCGATTGAAAGATTCTCGTCAAATTTTTTGTCAGTTGAATTTAAGTTCAAGGTATAGTTTGAAATTTCGTTCAAGTATAAGAAAAATGTACTTACAGGTTATACCTCGACTTACGTCGTTCCCGATTATACGTCGTTTGTCAAAAAAAGTATATGGAAAAAAAATCAAGTTTAAGTCATTTTATTCGACTTTACCTCCGTCCGTCACAAATATTGAAGTCGTAATATCAGTAGAAAAGCGTTTAAAGCACATAAAATTATATTAAAATATATACATTTACAAGTATGTACTGTATTTCCAGTACATGCATTCGTAAATTTAGATTAGTTCTTAATAGAGTACAGAAAAAAGTAAAATTTATTTGTTTGTAAGCTTAAAATAGATTCTTATTAATCATATATTATTAAAAATGCATTAATAAATAAAATACAGAACTGGGAATAGTAATTTATGGTTTAGCCTAGTGACAAGTAGATTCGGAGAAAAGTAAGTTTTGCTGGAACCAATTACCGACATAAGGCGAGGTATACCTGTATTTATAAATTTTAATCGTCTAATCATTTCCTGAATATTTTCAGATCACTTGTTTCATGAAAATATACGGAAAAACCAACATGGGAATTTCAGTTGCAGACTTCTTTTACGTTCGAAAAAATTTTTTGATTCGAGTAAGTCAATTTATTTGATTTTTATCGCTACATAGTATAAATATTGTTTACCTTTACAGATGGTGAGTGCATTGTATTCCATATTTTCTTCGGTGATTCAAGTAACTGGTGTAATGAGCAAACACAAATCCTGTAATGCAGTTTCTACATACGGAAATGTTACGTCTGATAAAATTGAACTTTTGGGTAATATAAATAGCTCCACTATTGTGTAAACTATTGAAAGTTGGAAAAAGTATGTTATGGTTGTCAACTTTTAAAGCTTTGTTTGCAGGGATAAGTGTAAAACAGTGGTAAATATTTAAAACAATTCTATCACATACCGTAGTTTGCAACATGGTGTAAAGCTATTCTTGGAGAGCAAGTGACTTAAAAACACGTTACATTTAATACTTTTTATTCAGTCACTGACAGTTTTATTAAACGACTAAAAAAATATAATTAGACCGATATAGATATACGAAAATAAATAATACAGTAACAAAAAATCACTTATAAATTACAATTTTTTTTATAATTGAAGTTTGTACTATTTAGAAAAAGTCAAATTAAAATTTCGAGTTTATCTTTATCACTTATACACTTCAAGGAGAAACTGACACTTGATTTTTTTTAACCTTGTGAAGTTTTTTACCTATTTTTACCTGTGTTTAAAAAGCGTTTTTCAAAGCAATTTTAAAACTGTTACTTCTTGTGGTAGTGTATAAGGGATAAAGATGGACTCGAAATATTAATTTCACTTTTTGTAAATAGTTTAAAACTATTTATGAACTTTATTTATGAAGAAAATACATCCTGAGTTATAACAAAAATTGCATAATTTTTTAATGATAAAGTAAAAACATATCTTTTTAACAATAGCATCTAATAAAAAAAAAAGTTTTTTTAACAATAATACAATTAAAGTATAATGCACCTAATTGTTTGTTAAATGTATAAAAGGTTCTATTATTAGTTGATTTTAAATTTGAATCTCTAGAAGCTGTGAATATTATTAAGTTTTCATTATTTTAAAACAGAAAGGCATAATAGTAATCTGCGAACTTGGTGAGTTTTTAATATAGCTTGCAACAGTTATATCTGTATATGGTTGTATGTTTAAAGTTATAATATAATACGTCATGGTAATAGGAAAATAAAAGTAAACTCGAGTTTACTTTCCTCTATGCAACGGTGTTTAAATGCATGCTTTCGAAAGTGACAGAGAACAGCTAGTAAACATATGTTAAAATAATTAAAAACCTGGTTTAATTTTCTGTAAATTCATGCCGCTGCGACAAATTTTCGGCTAAAAAAATAATTCTAAAATGTCAAAGAATATGTATGATGCATCATATAAAGTTTGGGATTTAAGTAGATCGAAGTAATATCTTATTTTAACAACGTCATGGCTAAAAAAACAGTGAATCTCTTTAAAAAGTTACTTTAGTTAATGACTTCAAAAGTTGTAAATATAAAAATAATTCTTTGTTAAAATATCGGAAAGTTATACAGAAGATAATTTAGAGTACTTGAATAATGAAGAAAAAATAATTAATAGTGTCATAGAACTGTAAGGGTAGTGAAAGCTAAATGATAAAAATTTTGTGACTTCCAAAATTATTATATGCTGTTTCAAAATACTTGGAGAAGGCTTCAAAAGGCTTACAACAGGCTTCGAAATTAAAATAATTGATAAATGGTTTCGTTCCTGCTGAGAGTTTGTTTAATAAACCAAACAGCTGTTAAAGAGTTTTCGTGAGTTGATGTTACTAATAAAAATGACTGAGTTGAATGAACAATAATTTATATTTAAGTTTGAAATCGAATAGTTTCTGATTAATTGTTATATGTGTATTACGTCATAAGATATCGATCTTTCAGAAATTATTTTTCTAATCTACTTGAATTGTAACCAGATATTAGTCGAGGATTGAAGTGCACCGATAAGTAAAAATAATAAATAATGAGAATTATTTTGAAGATAAACAACGTAAGGTGATGAAAAGCATAACTGTCAATTCTCGTGGACGTCGGTTGTTCGATTAGACAAAATCACTCAATTTTTTTAAAATGGGCGATGTGTCATTTTACTGAATGCCGATTTAATTATGTGTCGATACGCGCAATATATTAGCAGAAATTACTTTCGTGTAATACCAGGAAATGTTGGTTATTGTTTTTGCTGTAGTTAGTGGATAAGTTAAAGTAAAACCTTGACTATTCATCGCCATCTGCAAATATCGTGTGCACAACCATTGTTTCTAGCCATTAGAATATTGAACTGCGTATTGCACTGATGTTAATTGACTGAAGTATAGAAAAAAGTAACATTAATGGTTGAAATTACGAAAAAATGGGAATTTACAAAACAGAAAGATTACGTTTCTCCCGAACATACGATAATAAACGAAACCAAAAATGCTAGACTTTAGACTAAGTAAGTATAAAATTATTTTAAATATACGATTTTTTAAAATGTAGGCTTATAATTTCTTTACTTTTGTTATTTATTNCGACTAACCCAGTCCCCAATTAAGTCGGATAATCGAGGCTCTACTGTAATTTCAAAAATATTACTTACCGAAGAAGTTAAATAGGATACTGCCCAAGAATTTATAAGTCAACCTGATAAAAAAAGAGTATGGAAATTCCAGTGATTACTTCCCGAATGAAAACTTCTTCATCGAAAAATATTGAAACGAAACACACAAAAACATACATTAAGGCACACAGATTTTTCCACTTGTTATCTAGCATCTGAAACATTTCCCATATTGCAGAAAATTTGTTGGCTTCGCGATATCCGTCTGATTGTAGCTAATCAACAAATCGAGCAACGATTTGCGTAACATTTCCAGCACTTATGAAATTTTTAATTTAAAAAATAAAAAATGTACTAAACAAAATTTTAAAAATTGTATGTGGCGCCATCTGTTATGAAATTTTGTTATAAAAAGTTTTTATATTGTTTAATTAATATAAAATCACAAAAGGCTTAATTTTGTGAGTAGGTATGGAGTATCCTATTTAAAAAGTGCAAACAATAACGAATAAAATCATTAAGTCCTACTCTTCTCGAGATATGACATATAACACCTCTTTACCTCATCATCTTCTCGACCTTTAGCCACCAAAATTTGATACCATCAAATACACGTCATATACAACTTACCGTGAAAATTTCGTATTTTAATGTGCACCTCATTATGAGATATTAAAAGAAATAGATGCCAACTTACCCACACACCCACTAACTCGCAGACAGCATCCATACACACAGGCACCATGACATTATCATTCAAACCGGTATCAATGCACTAGTTAGATGGAGCAAAAAACAAATTTATATGTAATAATACTAATTTATTATTACATTCCTGGCTGTATTATACATGACAGAGTAAATGTATGCCAATAAATAAACGCGGCACCCTTAAAATGTTTACATTTCTAAACTTTGTACCATGTAACGTCGTGCAAAACATCAAGGGTTTTTCAATTCCCCACCAGGAAATGTGTGTCATCTTACACGATGACACACATTTCCTGTGTTTTCCGTGAGCAGTTCTGTTATAGCAGTTGGAGTAAGGAATATTGTAAGCTACTGCTAGCGAAACAATGCCAAATATGTAATGTCTTTCGGTAATCCGGACACTTTTGGTAATCCGACACCTCTTTGGTCCGTTACCTGTCGGATTATGAAGGAACAGCTGTATTTACGATTTTTTATACGATTTTTAAGCTTTTGCGAGTATATAATAATGAAAAATATAAAAAATAACTTAATAAAATTTCATAACACATGGATGCCACCAAATGTTGCCCGAGAAAGTTAAGAAACTCGTTGCTGGGGTTTTCTTTTAATTAGAAGCAACAATGTTCTGTTTGAATTTTATGTGACATGACAAAGTAACATAGCATCCCTACTTCTATTTATAACATTGTATCGTTAATAAATACAGTAGAGCATCGATTATCCGACCCTCGATTAAACGTCACATCGGTTAATTGACCGTTCGAGTCGGCAAATTTCAAATGTCCGCTAGTGATGTGGCATTACAATATTTGGCTATGTCTTGGCTACTTTAATATTATTTTTGTTAAATTTTTGCANATTTACAAAACAGAAAGATTACGTTTCTCCCGAACATACGATAATAAACGAAACCAAAAATGCTAGACTTTAGACTAAGTAAGTATAAAATTATTTTAAATATACGATTTTTTAAAATGTAGGCTTATAATTTCTTTACTTTTGTTATTTATTTATTTATATTTTTATACGTATAATTAACAAATTAGTAATCGAAATGTTTAGAAAAGGTTACGTAATAACGATTTGTTACACAGATTTGTGCTGAAAAACTTTAATCTTGAAAATATTATTTATTCGAAATAAAAGTAGTGTTTATGGGAAAAAGAGAAGTTTTAAATCGTCAAACAGGCGATAGTCGAAACTTTCGTGTTTTCGTATTTTTTCTGAGAGTTATGAAAATTTTTCAATACGTAATTTACGCACACGGCAAGGTACGTATGCATATTTTGGCCTCAAAAACAAAATTATGACGTAGGCATTTTTTCTAAAATCTCAGACAATAACTGTAAATGTTACCCACTTGCAGACTAGCAGGAGGTGGTATCATGGCGCCACCGGGCGGGACACCCGGAGGTTTCGGCGGCTGTCCAAACTGGCCGGATTGTATCTTTCCAGCCTTAAAGGCAGCAGCTAAAATGTTTTTAAAGTGTATTATAAATAAATTTTCCACAAAAGGAAACAAACCAAAGTACAAAAATCTTACTTGTCGCATCGATCAAGTTTTGGGCCTGTTCTTCCATCCACTTTTGATAGTAAAATTTCACATTTTCTTTGTGTTTACGTCCATTACAGTGGGTTTTCCTCACAGAAGGCTTTAAAATAAATAAAATGGCAGTAAATTTTTTAGAATGCTTGTAGATTCTTAAGAAATGACTTACCGAATCGTGTGTCAGATAAGTGTCGCAGTAGTCACAGTAGTATCTGAAAGAAAACAGTTTGATGATTGATATAGTGTTGTCTTTCATCATACAAGTGGAAATAAAATCTTAATCCGAACAAACATTTAAGATATTCTGAGTAATATAAAATTCATTCATTTCCATGATATTTTATAATAATAAGCATAAAATTAAGTCATAAAACAGAAATAGCTGTATGGGGAAATCCCCCACAAACTTCAACCTATTGACCTAGAAGTTTTGCCAGCACCTCACTGATAATGAGAAAGGCTTAAATTTAAAGTCTGAGCTTTCTAGACCCAGTAGTTTTTTCTCTACAAGTGTCTGTGTGCCAGAAAAAAAGAAGAAAATACAAGAAGAAAATTTTATTTCTTCCGTGGCGAAGCAAATAAAATCACTTATTATCATTGACATTGGAAGGCATTGCCAAGGATGCGTTATGTGAATTAAAATGTGAGAGAGTTGTGCCATGCAATAAGCAGGGGGACTAATATTTTCAGCTTTAATTACAAAGACCAGACTGTTGTATCCATAGTGCTAACATAGACTGCGATATTATCATCTGTATTTAAATGATGTATTGTATTGTATTGTTTGCTGCAGAACCATTGTTATCCTATACAATGCAGTGAATGGACAATTCGTACAGCCAGTAGTGTTCATCATGTTTATTTTTGATGAGAACCACCCAACATAAATGTGTACATTGGATATTTAATAGTAATCATTGTTATATAAGTGGCATCTGACAGAGCAACCTATCCCAGCAATGGAAAACCTTTCACTACAGACAGATCAAAATTGAATTTGAAATTTATTAACTCCAACTGTGGGTCAAATACAGTGGGTGATTAGTTAATGAACACTTTCATGAAAGATTTTTATGATCAGACAATGAACACTTCACTGAACAAATACAAGAAGCAGCAAGGTAAAATAATAAATACCAATTGGCCTACCCTTATCTTCGGGCCACAATTTGAAACTTTTAGGAGCGCGGGAGACGTCGACATCGATGTTCTACCCAGTATATACTGATCGGATAGTATTCCCCCGAAGTTTGAAACTCTCCCTTGTAATTCCAGCTTTTTATATTTCTGACAGAAACAATTCTTTTATGTTTTGTTCTGAAAACGGATTTATGCTGATATTTGCTATTAAAGATCTTTTGAAGAAGCGGGAATAACGGTCTTAATTAATTAATTTAATTAATTAACCAGGCAGACAACGGCATCCAAACTAGATTGAGGTTAATAGGCCTAGGAATCTCTACAATTACAATGCTGTTAATTATTTCTAAAAAATCATAAAGAAGACAGAAAACCAATCGACATTGGACTGATTTTTAACCCCCACAAACGGAAAAAAACATGACTAATAAAAATGCAAGACCGTGTATATACGTGAATAAACGTAGTAAGAAAGTATATATTTTTTATTTTTACGGGGTCTCCAGAACGAATTAATCAAATTCCCATAGAAACCTATGGTAAATCGATAATCGGTTAATGAACAATTCAGATAGCGTACAAAGTCTTGGAATGGATTATGTTCGTTAACCGATCACCCACTGTATTTTAATTAAAATTTTTGTATCTAAGATTCACAATTTAAGACTTTTTGTGACAACTTTAGGACCCCTGCTTTCACACTGTGCGCGCAAAGTTTTGAAATCTGTCAAATAATTTATAAAAACCCAATACTTTCTAAACATTCAATTTATATTAAATTAACACATTAATTCTTTTGTCTCTGTTTTACCAAAACACTTCAAAGTTTTCCCTAGCCCATTTCCCACCTTTTGGTTTGGGCTTCCTATTTTAAACCACATTCATAAACATCTTTTTATTTCATACTAGGTACACAAACATGATAATTCATTATAACTTACACTATCATAGTAAAACACAGTACATGCACCTCTACCTATCTTTAAAACTTACCCTCACTGAGCTCATCTTCCCTTTAGTTCTATGATCTCCTTGTAATACTCCACTAATACTTATTCTTTTCTAATACTAATGAATAAATATAACACAAACATTTAAAAATTTCCATTCTATTAATTAAAACAGTAATTCTTCATTCAATCTTCTCACTTTTCTTGTAAGCCAATACTAATTATGCTCTATCCTTATCATTTTTGTAATGTCCCGTGCTGTATGTTTGTAACTTGTCCATACTCTACTTCTGAACTCTTAACACATTGTAAATTCCATTGTCTTTCTCATCTCATTATTAATTATAGTCTGCATTGTAAAATTAATTGTATGTGCATATAAATTATAAAAACCTCTGGTCTGGCCCTGCATCACCAGCCCTTCTGGAAGGTTAAAAAAAATTATATTCTTAAGTTTATGTATATCCTGTAAATCATTGTAAATCGCTTCTTCTTCATCTTACTATCCTCCCTTCTTCATATTATTTAAGTCATTCTAGCCACTCTTTCTCCCCTGCCCACCATAAACACTAAAACAAATTCCTCTTTCCCAAATAACTAACCTTTTTCTGCCACCTTTCTGTTTAAACATTTACCGTGCTATACTTCTTTTCCCCGCTGACTGCCTGCCTCGTACTACACTTGTTATCAACCATCAAGAAACAACAACAGCAAAACAAAGAAATCAGCAAATGTCAAGTACTGAAAAAGCAAAAACTCAACAAACTCCAAGAACCACAAAACATGAAAAAGAAAATAACCACAACTGACTCTTCAAGGAACAACAATGTCTCCGTTCACCACACAAAACTACTCACTTGCTGCAGATTGTGTGGTGAATCTTTCCTTCACTTCCTACTATGCTGTTACAAACTCTCTCAATAAGGTTTTCCAGCATCCCCCTTTTCGTTTTGCTCCCCGTTGCATTTATTAAATATCTTTTCGGCTTTTCCCTCAGCTGGGTTGGTGGAGTTTTCTGAGTTTCCTCCACCTCTTTTTTCCCCTAATGGGGACCAGCTGCCCCTTCAAGTTTACAGTCCTCCCGGAAGGCTGTAGCTAATACCAACAATGGTATTAGGTCCCTCAAAATTCTTTATTCAAAATTTTGCTGGAAATCTTTATCGCTGGATACTTCACTGTGGACTCCCTATTTCAACCACTTTGAATCATCCACAAGACGTTAGGTTAGGTGGGGCTGGGTTTCATATTGCAACTTTCCTATCAATCTTTCCATTCTCCTTGGTCATTAAAAATTAGGTAAGTAAATAAAGCGGAACATAAAACATAACAAACAGAATAAAAATTTAAACATAACAATAACACGTAACGTTATGAGCCCTCACAAAGGACTAGATCTTATGAGCTCTACTTGGGACTTCTATGAGCCCATTTAGGGACAATAACCCCAGACCACCCTTCTTAACATAACATTCTTGGCCTCTTTGTGCTCCCTGAGCAATAAGGGGAATAATACCAAAAAACAAAAACAAAAAAATACATTTAATTTGGATACAGTAAAACTATCAAATTGGTCACAGGTTTACCATCATCGACGTACACAAGTGGACACTTAATACTCCGTACCGTTATTTCATGCACGATATCCAACAACCTACAAGCCAGACTATTTTTGCACATTAAGGCAAGCCAAACTCACGACAACTAGACAACACTAGATCCAAACTGCATGCAGTAAATTGCAAGCACGCCTACCGAATTTGAACCGGAACCCACAAGGAGAAAAGCTAATGCTTTTCCAAGAGACCTGCCAAAAGGAAATAAATAATTAAGTGCACTTAACCAACATAAATATCATCTTATTTATCACCAGACAGATATATTCCTAGCAAAATGTGCAAAGTAAATTATTTTTGCACAAAGCTTGCTGAAAGAAAGCAGACGGTACAATTAATTTCCTTGTAGCCATCATGCTAGTGAATGCACTATTAATTGAAGGTATACAGCTGATTGTTATAGTCTCACAGAGCCATATTATCAATTAAAAATCATTACTTCCATTAAATGGTTGATGTTACCTCCAAAAACTGGAGTACCATAAGTAGTCCAGTCACCGATCCTTACAGAACTATTTATGAGGGAAATAGAAGCTATAATTTTTTCAGCTCCACTCATCATCCATTACCTGCTATTGTATCTCAGATATATTGGGATGACACATATACAAAAGTATCAATGTTTGTTCCGTGCTCATCTGATATATCATCTCTGATTAACTACACTATAAAAAAAATCACCAGCAAATACTGGCATTTTCAATTTAGCCATACTTAGAGGAGATCATCATCATCATCTTCATTTTGAGATATTCCATAATTGATAGAAACCCTATAATTATANGTGGCGCTACAATATTTGGCTATGTCTTGGCTACTTTAATATTATTTTTACGTGTTTTAGCTGGCAACACTCATTCGACCATGAAAGGTAGCCAGTATTTAAACGAAGCTTAATTTTCTAATTTTTAACGGTACAATAGCGACGATTATTATTTTAAAAATTTTTGTTAGGATTAACATCGATGAAAATTCAACGTGAAGTAGGTTAATAGCGATATACTAATATACTAATTACATGTGATATAATAATATACTACACTAATAATGAATTTTTTCATACTTTTCGGTTATCCGACTTTTCAATTATCCGACTAACCCAGTCCCCAATTAAGTCGGATAATCGAGGCTCTACTGTAATTTCAAAAATATTACTTACCGAAGAAGTTAAATAGGATACAGCCCAAGAATTTATAAGTCAACCTGATAAAAAAGAGTATGGAAATTCCAGTGATTACTTCCCGAATGTAAACTTCTTCATCGAAAAATATTGAAACGAAACACACAAAAACATACATTAATTAAGACACAGATTTTTCCACTTGTTATCTAGCATCTGAAACATTTCCCATATTGCAGAAAATTTGTTGGCTTCGCGATATCCGTCTGATTGTAGCTAATCAACAAATCGAGCAACGATTTGCGTAACATTTCCAGCACTTATGAAATTTTTAATTTAAAAAATAAAAAATGTACTAAACAAAATTTTAAAAATTGTATGTGGCGCCATCTGTTATGAAATTTTGTTATAAAAAGTTTTTATATTGTTTAATTAATATAAAATCACAAAAGGCTTAATTTTGTGAGTAGGTATGGAGTATCCTATTTAAAAAGTGCAAACAATAACGAATAAAATCATTAAGTCCTACTCTTCTCGAGATATGACATATAACACCTCTTTACCTCATCATCCTCTCGACCTTTAGCCACCAAAATTTGATACCATCAAATACACGTCATATACAACTTACCGTGAAAATTTCGTATTTTAATGTGCACCTCATTATGAGATATTAAAAGAAATAGATGCCAACTTACCCACACACCCACTAACTCGCAGACAGCATCCATACACACAGGCACCATGACATTATCATTCAAACCGGTATCAATGCACTAGTTAGATGGAGCAAAAAACAAATTTATATGTAATAATACTAATTTATTATTACATTCCTGGCTGTATTATACATGACAGAGTAAATGTATGCCAATAAATAAACGCGGCACCCTTAAAATGTTTACATTTCTAAACTTTGTACCATGTAACGTCGTGCAAAACATCAAGGGTTTTTCAATTCCCCACCAGGAAATGTGTGTCATCTTACACGATGACACACATTTCCTGTGTTTTCCGTGAGCAGTTCTGTTATAGCAGTTGGAGTAAGGAATATTGTAAGCTACTGCTAGCGAAACAATGCCAAATATGTAATGTCTTTCGGTAATCCGGACACTTTTTGTAATCCGACACCTCTTTGGTCCGTTACCTGTCGGATTATGAAGGAACAGCTGTATTTACGATTTTTTATACGATTTTTAAGCTTTTGCGAGTATATAATAATGAAAAATATAAAAAATAACTTAATAAAATTTCATAACAC